GCGTGTTTTGGGTAGTTGGTTTTTTGTTAGTTCTTTGTTAAGCTATGTCTTGTCTGTTTTAGCGCTCCCCCGGGCGGATTTTTGAACGGTCTAACCTGACCCCCCCTCCCCCCATGTAAGTATTGGTGTTTGCGCTGTCTCTTGTTTGTACGTTTTGGTTTCCATGTCATATGTTGCTTTGTCTTTCTTTTGTGAGGACATGCCTTTCTGAGAGCCCAGGGCTTCCCGCCTTCACTGTGAGAAAATGGCTTCCATCAAGGAGCCAATTGTGGAAGTGGGCACTTGAAAGAATCGAAGATTGAAAGAAGCCCCCTAGCTTTGCCGTGCAGTGTAAATAAGTAGTAAGTAGAAAGTTGGAAGTAGAAAGTAGGGAGCAGGGGGTAGTGAGTAGTAAGTAGTAGGTAGCATGCCATGTGTACAGCACAGAGCAGACCTTTTACCTACTGCTGTGTCAGCCTTGCACCCTTATCTGCATAAATGTCACTGCTTCTCCGGATTGGCTGCATGTGACCACATTCAGTTTGACTTCTACTCTTGCAGTTACCCCTTCTCGGCCAACGTCCCACCGCTGCACCGCACCCACACCCACTAAGTTGGCTTTCTCGCTGCGGCCACAAGGGCCGGCGGAACAATCCGCAGGTGTAAATACCTGTAACTCAGTGTAGGCCTGTTGATGATGGTTCAGTTGCAGGCCTTGTTAAAGGCCTGTTGCGGACAAGAACGGACAAACCCAATTCATGGCCCACCCATACAGCCCAAACACGACTCATGGGACTGGCATATTTACCGATCAGGCCAGGGGTTTGGGAGAGTGGATCTGGGGTGGTTCACAAATCTGGCGGAGTGTCTGGACCAGGGACCGGTGTTTTCTTCGGTCTATGGTGTTCTATATATATGCAAGTTATATTGGAAGGCACCACTTCATCCTTGCCAAGTCAACTTGTCCTTCTGTAGCCTATGCGCGCAGGAATCTCGCAGTACCGCGTCAACCTTTTGATTGATCAAACAAGGCCAGCCTAAATGACATCCCAACATCTTGCGGTTTTCCAAAACCGAACCACTCGAAACCCAATCTCCCGCAAAACGCCCCTGCAAAAAGAGCTCGATCTACGGCAAGTTGAATTTGCAAGCCTCTGGGACGAAAAAATATCTGCCAAAACATGGAAGGTAGGAACCCAAATTCTCAAAGAATCCACAGCGGTTTTTTTTTCGCCTCTTGGCATGTAAAGAAGTTCCTTCGGGTCTCTTTAGGTGGTCAAACCTGGTTACGCGGTTTCAACTCACTTGAAACAGATTAGTCGGGATTGATCATCTGAAACCACCACCACCCACTGAACAAATATATTAGTGTATTTTAGTAAATTTTAGTGGTGGGAGTACAGGTTGAACATATACATATCTGAAACCACCACCCAGACTCTCTTTTGGAGGTTCAGAATCTCTTTTGGAGGTTCCTTCCTGAGCTTGTCTTCTGCCCGTGAGCAGGAAGAGTTTGTCCTTCCATCGGATGGAACCCAACACGAACCGCAGCGAGCGCTACCAACCACTAAATGCTGTACATCTATATAGAGCCCAAATACTCTTTATAGGCGGTTGGACACCATATAAGTTATTATTGCATAAACTTGATCAAACATGTAAACAATAAGTTCTCCCCAGTTCTCCCTCAAAAAAGACTGGATTCACTGGCTCAAATCCAACTGCAAACCAGGCTTCACCATCGCAGCATCCCCAAGTTGCGCAGCCACATGAATGGGGCAAAGGCTCTCTCTCTTCCTCCAAAGCCAGCCGCTAGTCCTGACCAGCTGTGGGGAAAGCAAGGGTGCCTGCCGTCTACCTTTTTCCACCTGTTATGTTGAAGTAATCATGAAGAACAAAACCAATCACAACAAAACAATCACGACAAAGGCTGTAGTTATAACATGCTATTATATATCTATAAATCACTGGCTAGGAGTCTTGGTCTTGGAGCCATGGACGTCACGAAAGCCATGCAGGCGCAGGAAGGACTTCAACTGCACGTGCTCCCGGAATCTCTGGTGACGTCCCGGGCCCTTGCCGCAGTGGAGCGCAAAATACTCCATGGACGGCAGCCAGGCACATAAGTAAAAGTCTATATAGGGGCCCAGCCTGAACGAATTCTAGTCATTCTTTGCTATACCGCTATACCGGCTATACCACTAAATCTTCTGGAATTTCAGTATATTTCAGTCTGTACTGCTCAGTGTTTCACATCTTCCCCTTGCACAGTTCCATACCACTAAGAGCTTGTCTTCCAACGTGGCTCAATTGATGACACGCCTCATGACCCGCCTTGCGCCCCTTGAGCCCAGCAAGCCGGAGCGCCCGATCGGATAGGCCCCATCCAGTCCCGGCTCTTCAGTTCGTGCCCGTGACTGGTACACGGACTTTTCGGGTGACTGCCCTCACGGACTCTCAAAAGGTCGAAGCTGACTGACACATGGCTTTTTGGGGACATGTTTCTTGTCACCAGTGGCCGTGCTGAGCTGCGGCATCCCCAAAGCGAGGAAACATCCAATCCGGGAACCGGCCGAAGAAGCACAAGTCCCAGGTTCAGCCCGTCAGATTAGAAGGGCATGGAACAAAAAAAACTTGAAATGAAGGTTAAGGGAAGCTGGAGTGTCCGTCATTTCCTCTGGTTGTCTCTCCATGCGGTACCGCCGTCTGGTCGATTGACCTTGACATCTGATGTCGAACGGTGCACCTCTTGTGGCGAACTCGTGTGTTCCATGTTCTGCAATCGGCAGCCGAAAGAACATGGGGAAGAAGTTCTGAAAACAACATAGAGCCGTTCAAGACTCATTCCCAGAAGTGGTTTCTAAACGGTATATACCCATGGGGGTGAAAGCAATGGTTTCCCGTAGATTTCCCCTTAAACCAATCCAGTAACCAATCCATTGACTCTTGGCTCGATTCCCAAATGATGATTAATATTTGGATCCTTTGCCAACCATGGTCTTTGGCACCTGAACAATTTGAGCCAGTTCTAGGGGCCCTCTAGTCCATTGGTGGCCCCTTGGATGGTTTTTGGCATAAATCTCTCGGATGTTTTCATCACCCGGCTTCTTAACCTGGCCATCTGCCAGGGCTCTTCCCGACCACCACTTTGGCCAGGCCCATGTCAGTGAGCTTGATGTGGCCAAGCCTCAGCAATCTTCCAAATTCACGGCAGGCATGAAGAATTTTCTATCGCTTCCTTCCGTGGGGTGTTTTTGGAGGCTAGAACAAGTCCAAGCGCCTACCATGTTCCTAACTAGCGTACGCAGGTCCCGAAATGACGCCAACGGTTCTTAAGGGTGCCAATCCCAAATGGCCAGAGCAGGTCATGGACAGCTCGTTTGAGTCGTGGACAGTCCGATCGCTCACAGGTTTGGACACGTCTTTGCTTCAGCCTCCAGGTCCGGCCGGGCCATGGCCGTGGCCGCCAGGTACCAAAAAAGAACTTCAAGGATTCGAACCGTTGTTCAAACGCGTGTTTAATATACCCTGGACCCTCCAACGACAAGAATGTTCTTGTTATTTTAGTTTTTGACTACATTTTGCCACCAAAAAACTGTAAACGCTACAATCGCTAAGAACGACATGGAATTACCTGCAAAACGCCCGCAAATATCCCGCAAATATCCAAATCTCTTTGCATTGGAGGTTCAAGGACCCTATGGGCTTCCAACCACCACTTGTTTAATGATGTTTTCTTATGTTTTCTTAACCATTGTTTCACCAATGATGCTGCACTAAACGCACAAAGCAAGGATTAATGCGGCCAACCACCAGACCCACCAATCCCACCTTCCTAGGGGAGTATTGGGAGCCCAATCTTGTATGCCATACATGCATGTTTTGGCTTCATTAGTTAAACACATTCAACGTGCAAACCCACGCTTGAATGCTTGAACAAATCAATGGGGCGAAAAACGGGGTCTTAGAATCAAGGAAAGCGGAACCTGTTGCCTTCTGCAAAATATATTATAAATACCTAGCACTTCAATTTACAGTGGTTTCAGAGAAAAATTAGATGGTACAACGCCCAAAAGGTGGTTTATATGGATCCCCATCCAAAGGACATCTTTGGGCTTGTGCCATCTACTCTGAAAACGCTGTATAAATGTGTCTTCCCTGGCTCCGTTGGTGCTCCGTTGGTGCCATCCCTGGCTCCGTTGGTGCCATCCCTGTCACATTTTCCGAAGGTCAA